CACCTGGGAGTTCATCATATGCTCGCACATGACCAGCGTCCTCACGACCACATCCTTGACCTTTTCCCAGAGTATCGCCCAGCCTATGCCTCTCTTCTCGAGTCGATCGCTGAGATCTTCAAATGACAACTTGGTACCTCGAAAAAAACACCGAGGCTCGGTAACAAGCACGAGTTTACCTCCCAGCATGCGATGTTTATCATACGGGAGACTGCCAGCATGTTTTCTCTGCACGCTAGTATTCGTCAAATGCATGAGCCGATTCCTGTAATTTGAAGGGCTGGATGAATACTTCACCGTAGCGAGCCTAGCGAAACCTTCCTTGTAAATGTAACTACACCAAAGAGTCCTCTCCATGACATGATAATTTGAAACGATCTTTTCTTACGCTTCCAATGGATTGAAACTCATCACCAGGACATAAACCCGGAGATCGAATTTATACTCGTCTAGTAGCAACGGTTTCTCGATGTACTGAATGCGAAACAAAACAACGGTATTGAATTCTCCTCAGAAAGCCAACCCGGCATATGCATTAAGATAGCTAAGCGACTAACCGTCCGGGCTGATCAGCGCTACGCTCACATGTTGCATGTAACTCATTAAATTAACAGCTTTGAATCGAATTGAATTTAAGACGGCTAACCTCCTGGATGATGCTGGGCTCCCTGTAATGGACTTCGCTGATATCGGAGATGACGCTTATGCCTCTTCCACGCGAAAGGGATACAGGTTTCAATATCCACATAGTTTTCGGAGGATCCCTAGAGCGATCATAGTGATACAACCACCAGAGACTTCGATCGTTTACAAGCTTCTGTTATTGGTGTAGGCGTCTACGAACTGACAGTAATCCCGAGGAAGAACAAACGTGTCGGGGGTGACTCGGAAGGCTTCGACCATCTGGAGCCTTCGAGAGCCCGGCGGTCGTTTCACGTACCTATATCAGTGCGGAAGAATATGCATATGTGTCGGTAACTATATGGAAATTATTGTTGGTTTCTGTACACTTCTGCCCGAGTTAGTATATACTATTTGAGGGAACTCCTAAACTCAGCTGAGGGAAGCGAAGATCTATTCCTCCAATGCCGATTTGTCAACAGGCATAAGAACACTAAAATTGGGATGCTCGATGACGTTCTAAGTGCTCCTAAACTCAGCTGAGGAAAGCCAGCATATTCCAACACCGGCCACATGCAAGTATATCCGCAGCGCACAGTGCGATCACTCACCGATCGACACATCTTTTTAGGCAGTCTTTTCGGGTGAGGAATTTGCTATCAGGGAAATGGTTCACCCTCTGCCATACGAACAGCTTGTTGTAGTCGATGTTCGGCCGACCCCAGGTCCAAAGGAGATTCCAAACCTATTAATTGGGTATATCATGCGATACTGCGTGTGTCTTCCGACTGCTCCTATATGACATCCATGCGGTAGCTCTGCGTAGTTGTGATTTCCTGCTAGACTCCGCGACACGACGTCGTACACCTCAACACGAGATTGAACGACCTGTCAGCGCGGAGAGAGCGTTCATAAGCACAACAACCGCCGATCGCAAAGCAATGGAGGGAATATTTCACTCAAGTATGAAATTTTTGAAAAAAGTCGGCAAAATTTTTGCTCACTGAACGATCTACCTTGTAGTAGATCTGAGTGTCTGGGTTCGTTACAGCTGGCGTTGAGGTACTCAGGGAAGGCTTCCCAACCAGAGTGTGACGAAAATCGGAGAAGTCGAAGATCTCGAAAGATCGAGATACATCACAGAAGTTTGCGTACATGAAAAAAACAATGTAGAAAAAACATGTGTTGGTGACAATAAGGAAATTCTGCGAAAATTTCCGGAAATTTTCGTTGGTTTCTGTACACTCCTAATTAGTGAGGAAACTTCGCTGAACTCAGCTGGGGGAAACGAGCATATAATCCTACTCCAACACTGGAGAAACCAAAACTATGAGTGTTTGTATTCAAAACGCATCCTTTCTTGTCAGTGTGGGAATATATGTTCGAATTCCCTTTTACCCAGCTCGTGAGCTTCACATACGATTTTGAGTAAAAATGTAAATAGAAAACCAGAAATTCCAATACATGTAGTTGACCAACGGTCATAAAGCTGCGTTGAACGATTCGTACAGTTGCAGAGTTTCCCTCAAGAAGCGTTCGCGGACTTCTATCAGATCGTCTGACTTTCGTCTGGAATTCTCTGGAAAGGAAAAGAAGTCTCCTAGAGCCAGACTCTTGTCAACTTTTACTTTGTTCCTTTCCCCATGTGAAAATCTCAGCGAAGGTGGTGAGCACTTCGCTGTAGTCGAACGAATTTTCCTGCAAGTCGCAACTTCCTTCGCCCTTCGTCACGTTCGCATTCTCCACTTCGTCAATTCTATCAGCAGTTTTCGAGTCTACTTCCTCTCCCAAAACGCCCTTGAAGTCGTTTTCAATGACAGACTCTCGAAGAAGTACTTCGTCCTCTATCACCGCGCTTACACTCTCGTTTTTGTCACTTGCGGTGTCGCTGTTTTTATCATCGAAAACTACTTCCTTTTCATTGCCATTAATCTCAACAAGGTCTCCTTGGACAGAAATGCTATCAGTTCCTTTTTCGCTGCGACCATCCTTTGCCGATTCGGATTGGTCAACCGTATCAAGTGATCGACTAGAGCTGGTCAGTCGAGACTCGTCACAACTGTCACTCTCCAATTCGTCCGAAATACTTCTGGCATCCAGGAAATTTCTTTCTGCCGCCTCCGTTATTTCGATCGTATCATCAGAGCTACTGTGCTCTACGAATTCAGACTCTTCTTGTGAGTTTTCGAGCTTGGAAATTTCATCCACTACTTGCTGTTTTTTTCTGTTTTTTATTCGTATCCTCTTTGAAAATTCTCTCATACGTTCAACTTTTTTCTTCTTTTTGTCACTTTTTCTACCAACGATTTTGCATTTTTTCTTTTTCTGTTCTTTCGGTTTCCCAACCACAAAAGACTTCCCTTCAGCCGGACTAGGCCTCCACTTAGCGATGCTTTTTATCGTAAACCGTGGTGACTCCGTCGTAGGACGTTTTGCATCACTGACACTCGCATGCAGTGCTGAAATGTCCTCGCGTTCTGTCGTGTGATCGTGTTCACAGAATCTGAGATCCGACTGTTTTTTTGTTTTTCCTCACTCCAAGGGAAGTTTGCCTTTTCATAATCTGCATTCGCAGATTTTCCGCGCGGTGACGTTCGTCAAGTTCTCTTTGAATCAGCGACCGAATCACTTGAGAGTTTTCCGTTTCAAGATACTCTGAAAAAGCACAATATGTTCGAATTCCCATATAGTTTTGGAGTTTCACGACCGTGGTGATATGAAAAACACTAGTGAAAAACATATTTCACGACTACTGCATATCACCGCGAATATTGCGTTTTTCACGGAGTTTTACGCCACTTCACGTAAAACGGGTGATTTAACTCCAATTTGCTCCTCATAATTCCGCAGTGTATGACAGTTAGACCGTTTAATACAGTGTTGGGAAGAGCTCGACCAGAGCTTCCGAATGAATATCTTTTTCTGTTCATCAACTGTCACACCCCGCGAAGTTTCAAGGAGTGGGCGCTTTTTTTGCACCACCCTGTAGTCTTGGATGAACTCGGCTCTGTCAGTGAAAAAGAGTCTACTTTGACACACGTAGTGAGATAAATGGTTTCGAGGAGTTTCAACCGTTTTACGTGAAGTGAAAAACGCGATATTCTCGGTGATATGCAGTAGTCATGAAATATGTTTTTCGCTAGGGTTTTTCATGTCACTAGGGTGAAACTCCAGTGTGGTAAAATGTGCACAGGACCAACTACGTGTGTTGGTGATAATAGGAATTCTGATAAAATTTTGGGAAATTCTTGTTGGTTTCTGTGTACAATCAGTGATGGAACTGCTAAGCTCCATATTTTCGAATTATATGAA